AGCTTGGTGAACGTCGACAGCTGCTCTTGTGAGGACCATGGCAAAGCGGGGATGAAGCAGAGCCCATGTAATAAGTCATAGCTATCAGTATACAAGATACTTACATGTATGAGTTCAGGGCGCTTGTCTCCTCCGGATTTCACGGATACTTCGCCCCTGTAACTCTAACTCGCGCAGAAATCCTCGGAAGTGCTGCCACGTGACAAAATGCCGGTGACTCGTAACTCCAACTCTTTGCCGAACAGGCCCTAACGGTTCCCACGGCCAGCTCTGAGCGCTTCGTAACATATCAAATTCAATTCCCAGACGACGAAGTCGTTTATGTACCCCTCCCATATACCAACTCCAGCTCTAGACTTTCTACTCCTATTCCATTTCCTCAGAACCCTTGTAGCGTGATGGATCTCAGCGTCTTGGAGTTACTGAGCAAGCAAATCTCAAATGAAGTCTCGGCGCTTGGGTTGCTGCGAAACGATGTACGCACCGAGCAGTAGGTATCATCAGTCGCCTCGTCCACAATTCTGCTGACATTGACTTCTTACATAGGTATACCGAAGTGGTTAGCTAGTAACCTAGGCCGTTACGTGGCTCTTGCTCTCTACTGACACCCACTACGCCAGCTGCGGGCCCTCGCTATCGCATTACACAAGGGGACCGTTGTCGTAGGCGGTCTCATCAACGCAGCTTTGCCTATTCACTATATCCCTCGTCTTCGAGCTCTCCTGTCAGAAGGAACGTACCTACGTCTCGCCACCGGGCCACTGGCCTTTTCCCCAGACCTCTATGGAAGGCTTACACAACCTAGCAACGACGTGCCGATACTGGCGTGAGCTGATATCGACAACGCCAACTCTCTGGACAACCGTCGCGACAGCCTATGGTCGTGGCGGCGTCCACAAGTTACGGCAGAGCGCGCATGTACTTGAAAATCCGGATCTGCAACTGGTCGCCCACATCGATGGCCGAAAAGTCTCTTCTCGGACGCAAGACATGCTAATCAGAGAGGCCTCGCGAATACGGGAGCTCCACTGTATCGCTCCCATCACTAGAGATCTCCCCTCGTTCCTCACGTCTTTCGATGCCAGTGCGCTCCAGCACTGCTTGCTATCCGCCGAGAGGGAATCCGATCCCCTGACACGTAATAATGCCCGTTTCTTTCCCTTCTTTTCCGGACAGGGCTCTAGTCTGCGTTCGCTCTGTTTACATGATATCTCCGTGCTTCCAGCGAACACATTCCCCTCTCTATCCCTGATGGTCGTACGGCTGGAACCTAACGATAACTACCCCGTCAACTGGGACCTCTACGATCTCGTTAATTTCCTTTCGGGGAGCCCACGGTTGGAGGAGATTTACATAGGGGATATATCATGGCGCATGGAACAGGTCTCATTCTCTTCAGTTCCCGTCGTGCGGGCACCACTCTCCCTTCCGCGGCTGCGATACCTCTCCCTCACATACTCAGCCAGAGCCACGGAGTCCGCCAGCCATGTCGTCGAACATCTCCTCTCACGCCTCATCATTCCCCCCTCCTGCCATCTCTATTTCAAGGCACGTGGTGGCCCGCGAAACATCAACCAAGTTCTCCTCGAGAGCGTACGACGCCATGTTGCGTGCAGTGACGCGGTGTCCCACGTATGTTTGTGGATCACCGATTTCTCCATAAACCAGAGCATCCAATTGGTTTTTCCCAAGGGATCCCTCCGGCTCGTGTTCGCAGCGTCACCATTCATCTCTGTGCGCCACACCGAGGATATGTTAGACCTCTTGCACTCATTCCCACAACTTTTCACTGAGACACAGGAGCTCCGAGTTCACTACAGCGAGAATAACCTCTTGCGAAAGCTCCAGCCGTCGCTGCCGGCTATCTTCCCCAACATTACCGCGCTCTCTCTCGTTCCCTTCCTCGTTCCTGGGTACTCGGGCCACGCTTCTCTCACCATCGGCTTGGAATCGCTCACCGAGCCGCCAGAAGGGGAGCGGAAAGTGACTTGGCCCGCTCTGGACACCCTCTGGGTCTCGGTGACGGACAAGCGAGATGCAACGCAGTTGGAGACGGCGCTAGACTTCCGAGCGTTGCGTGGTCACCCGATTCGTCACCTCACCGTTCGCTACAACCCTCGCAAGAAGAAGGGCAAGGGTGGCGTCGAGAACAAAGTCCCGAGTTTTGCGGCGGCGTTGGAGGAGCACGTGAAAGAGATCACTCTCATGGAACTCCCGAGTCGTGAACCGCGCCGGGAGATAGATTGGATGGTTAGGCTGCCGGAGAGGTACGGCTTGCCTTCTGCCTTCCACAGGGACTGGCCTTCGTGGAATATCTGAGCAGGATGGACTTTGGGTGACATGAACTCACAAAGTTGGACGTGATCAT